GGGGGGAAGGAGGGGCCAGAAGGGCGATAGAAGTGCGCGCGCGATTGCGGGTGTGTTTGTGTGTGTGTGTGTGTGTGTGTGTGTGTGTGTGTGTGTGTGTGTGTGTGTGTTTGGGCGTGTGCGCACTCGGACCCGCGAGTCTGCAAAAGAGGGCGGATCGTCGCGGCCCGCCAGGTCGCCGGGGCAGACTTGGTTCAGGCCATCTGCACCAATCAGCCGTCCTGGCGGCCAGCCCCTGCTGCCCTCACCTGCCCCCCCCCCATCATGCGGAGCGACCCCCGACACATGCCCGCGGCTCGCCTGTGTGCGACTCCCACGCAATTATTTGATGCCGTCACTTCTCACCCTGCTCCCCAGAACTCCCACTTGCAGTTCGGTGCCCCCCCGATGATCCCTGACACGCGCCCCCAACCGCCCCCAACAACTGCAACCGCCGCGCAGGCTGAGCTGGCGTGGGCGCGGCGGAACCGCCCAGAGCTGCTGGAGCAGCCGGAGGTGGCGGCGCGCGTCAAGATGATGCAGCAGGTGTGGTGTGTGTGTGTGTGTGTGTGTGTGTGTGTGTTCGTGTTCGTATGTTTGTGTGTGTGAGGGTGAGAGAGTGTTTGAAAGAGAGAGGTTGGGTGTGTGAGTGTGCGTATGTGCCTGTTTATTTGTGTGTGTATGCGCGGCTGCCACTTCCTCTAAGCGCGGCTGCTGCCTGTACCTACACCTTGCGGCCTCCTTCCGGGGCTTGCGGCAGAACGGGGCCCTCTTTTCGGCGGCTCGCGCCCACCTGCCTACCCTCCTGGCACGCTCTCAAGCCACTCCCTAGAGTGATATCCATATCCCTGCGGCTCCCCATCCATCTGCCGGCCCATATCAGACGGTGCTGCTGAAGACATTGTCAGCTGCAGGCTCCCCACCCGCCCCGGTCTCCCTCGCTCGCTCCACCCACCTCACCCAATCCGCGTTGCCCCACCCCACCCCACTCTTACCTCTGTCCGCCTCTGAAATCCCACTTCAGGCCGAGGCTCAGCTTGAGCCCAGGCGGGAAGCTGTGGCGCAGCTGGAAGAGGCCATCAAGATCGCGGGCAACCTGGACTTGGGGAGCCTGTGATGACGTCATCATTGTGTGTGATGCGAGAGATGTGAAAGCTCCGCGGAGGACGCTGCTGTCACATGTGACTGGATTCGCGGAAGGCGCGCCAGCGGGCGCTGCGGAACCTGTCGCGCCTGCTGAGCAGTCGCGATTTTGAGCCGTGCGGCACTGGCATGATGAAGTTGGGCTCCATTTTGCAGCCGCGCAAACCTCTGCGCTTCTCGATGCTATCCAATGGGGACCGGAGCAACGCTTTCAAAGGTGGTGGTGCGGTGGTGGGACGGCGAAAAATGGGGAAAGCGTGACAAACAGCAGGTGATGGGTCACCGGCGTCACTGCCGAGGGCGCACAGCACAAGCGGCAGGGGTGGCGCACAAAACCGTCCCCCCACCGTTGCTGCGAATGTGCTTGCATCGAACCTGTGGCTTTTTTTCAACCGGGGGTCACGGATCACGAGGCGATTCAAACTCTGCAGGCGGTCGGGATCAGGGCACATTCGCAGCTGCTGACAGTCAGTAGAATCACAAGTCACATTTAATACTCGTGCCCGGATCTCGGGCTGCTCAGCCGCTGCGCCGCGATGCGCGCCGCCATGCAGGTTCGCAGTGCCTCTGGCGCGACCGCCGCTCCCCGCGCCTGCGCCGCAGCCGCGCCCATTGGCCGCGCCCCGCACCCGGCGCGCCGCACCGACCGCTCCTCAGCCGCCGCCACCAGCCCTGCCGGCCGCAGCACGCTAGGTCCCTGGCGCGGCGCGGCCACCGCCAGCGCTCTGAGCGGCGCCCAGCGGCGGCGGTCTGTTGTTGCCGCCGCCACCGGCGGCGGCGGCTACGACTTTGCCATCGAGACGCTGCCTACATGGCTGTTGCGAGAGGAGATGGCGGGTCGGGTGCCGTTTGATCTGGTGCAGGTGGGATAGAGGTCGAAACGGCGTCCTGGGGACGCCGTTTCGAGGGCGCGCCCGCGCGGCCGAATTGGCGGGGCGGGGCCGGCCGTGCGGGCGGTTGGCGGTCCAACGGCGTTCGGCAAGCACATGGTTTGTGCAATTAGGTTTGTTGTTTGCAGCATCTGAGGGAAAAACATTTTGATGTGAGTGCGGTGAGCACTCACAAGAGTAAGGGTGATCACGTTATCCCGGGTAACTCGGTGACAGGGTGCTTTCGCGGCGCAGCAGCGATGAGATGTGCGCAGCAGGACGGGGCGCTCCGAGTTGCATCCAAGGCCTGGGAAATCTCGCATTTTGTGTGGCTTTCAAGAAACATACACACACGCGCACGTGCACACATTTAGCTACATGCACACAGAAATGCACACACAAACACTCACCCACATGCCACCCACACATTTTTAAACAAACGCCCGCACACCCGCACACAACTTGCCCAATAACAACCTTGCACCAGGTCGTGTCGTCCATCGCGGTGGCGTGCAAGCAAATCAGCGCCCTGGTGGCGCGCGCCCCCCTAGCCAAGCTGACGGGCGTGGCGGGGGGCTCCAACGCTAGCGGGGACGAGCAGAAGAAGGTGGGGCGGCGACAAGCACGAGTGTGTGCGTGTGTGTATGTACTTGTGCATGTGTGTGTGCGTGTATGGGTGTGTATATTTGTGTGCGTGTGTGTGTGTGCCCACTCAAGCATGTATGTGAGTTTCGGCGTATGCATCAGTGTGCATGTGTGTGCGCGTGTATGGGTGTGTATATTTGTGTGCGTGTGTGTGTGTGCCCACTCAAGCATATGTTGGGCTGCTTATCTGCAAAGAATTTGGGATGTTATCGTATGGGAATGCCGCCCTGCTCCTGCGGTGCATGCGAAGCAAGGGGGCGGCTCCAACTCAAGCAGGGCGCAGCACAGGCTGGCGGGGGGTTGCGCGTGTTGCTTGCCGCAGGGGTGCCAGGCGCGCGCCATGAGCACGCTCTTCTCTCCGGCGCAAGGCTGGATGGAGGAAGGGGACGAACTCGGGAAAGCAGCGCCTGCAAGGGAATCAACCTTGCCAACATCTTTGAGCGGCAAGCTGATGATGGCAGCACAGCAACGCCCGCACAGACACCCGAATGTTTGCGGATTCTCCCCCTCACCCTCACCACTCCCACCCCCACCACACCTCGCGATGACGTCAGCTCGACGTCATCGCCAACGACATCTTCACGGGCGCGGTCGCCAACTGCGGCCGCACCGGCATCACGGTTTCCGAGGAAGAGGAGGTAGCGCCCTCGGCGCGCCCGCGAGCCTCGGATCCCCTTTCCCTGTTGCTGGGGGCGTGGCCGCCCTGGCACCGCCGATGTCGGCTGGCTCGGGGCTCAATCCGCTTCGCCCTGGCCTCCCTGCGGGCCAAACGGCTGCCGGCCGGCAGCCTGCGTGCTCTCAGAGGCGAAACCACCCGTCCTGCCGCTCCCAGCCCGACAGACAGCCGCCCTGCAGGCCCGCCTCGACGCTCAGCGGCCCGCTGCCACGTTTCAATCAAGCTCCTAATTTGTACCATGGACACAATTGTGCAATATATGTGCCTCTCCCGCCGCAGGCCCCCATTGCGGTGGACGTGGTGGCTGGCGGCAACTACATCGTGGCTTTCGATCCGATCGACGGGTCGTCAAACCTGGTGAGCGTCGGGCACGCTCTTTTCAAGCCTTTCAAGCGCCAAGGGTCGGCGGCTTTGCGGGCGTTGCAAGGATCAGCGGCTTTGGGAGGGTTCCAAGGTTGGTTGTGGTGGGGGTTCCAAGGGTCAGCGGCTTTGCGGAGGTTTCGCAGCGGGCGATGCAAAGGCGGACGGGGCTGTGCAGGCTGCGGTGCAAACGGCGCAGAAGCGCTTCGTGCCCTGTGTCGTTTTGCGGACGCATGTTTGGGCCTGTATATATTCAGCCACTCGGAAGCAGGGCGAGGCCGCGTGGCAATGTGCGCCCGCGTCATGGGGTGATGTGCCTTTCCCAGGTGCAAAGCGGCCCTCCCCACCCCACTCGCAAAGGATGAATGCACCAGCAACAAACCAATCATATTCCTGAGTGCGTGCACGCACACGCCAACTCACCGGCAAACATGACCCACACTCACACCCACCCACACACACACACATATGCACGCACACGCACACGGACACACGCGCGCGCACGCGCGCGCGCACACACACACACACACACACTCTCTCTCTCTCTCTCTCTCTCTCTCTCTCTCTCTCTCTCTCTCACGCGCGCGCACGCATGCACGTGCAAGGCTCCAGTCCCAACCACCCACCTTCACCCACAACCCCACCCACTGGACACCCACAACCTGACCCCCTACGCCCCGTCAAACCCGGTCAAATATGGTCAACAACAGGACGCCTGCATCAGCAGCGGCTCGATCTTCGGGATCTACACCCCAGGGGAGTGCGTGATCAACGACGATGACAGCGCTGACGAGGTGCGCCGGCTTGATCCTCGTTTGGCCGGCTTGGGTCGTCATCTTGCAGTTGTGCTTCGCTGTAAAGAAGCGCGGGCCAAGGCGGCGGTCACGGGCGAGGCCGAGCGCCGCCGTTCTCGTCCTGCTGCGCGACCGGCGGGCGGACGCGGCTGCTGATCAAGCAGACGCGCTATGGCTGACGCGGCAGCGGGGCCTGCGTCGGGCCGAGCCCCCACTCAACCACAACCCACGCCCACAACCTTTACAGCCCAGCACGCTGGCCCTTCCCGACCTCAACCCCTCCCTGCTCACCTCCCCCTCCCCCCACACACACCTCTCTGCAACCCCTTTCCCACCTAAGAACTCAATCTCCAAGCCCTGATCCCCCCAAAACCCGACCCTCCAAAACCCAGGTCTTGGAGAAGTGCGTGACGAACGTGCGCAAGGCCGGCACCGAGCTGGTGGCCGCGGGCTACTGTCTCTACTCCAGTGCGACAGTCCTGGTGCTTACCCTGGGAGACGGGGTGTTCTCCTTCACACTGGATAGGGGGCTCGGGGAGTTTGTGCTCACGGACAGGTCAGCGGCAGTTTGGCTGCAGTGACGTTACGCGTGACACTTGTGTTACTCTTAGACGCGTGTGTGTTTATGTGTGTGTGTGTGTGTGTGTGTGTGTGTGTGTGTGTGTGTGTGCGCGTGCACGTGTGTGTGCGTGTGTGGGCTTGCGGGCAGGGGTTGAGGAGGACGACACCTGCTCGCTGACAGGGATGGGGGCGGGCGGAGGGTGAATGGTGATGTCATCATGCTGGAAGGCGTGTCGTTGCCATGCAAGCGATCACCTCAAAAGTAGCCTTAGCAGGTCTACATGATCTCGCGTCTACTGCTTTCAGGGCTGGGCCCGAACCAACGTTTGACCACTCCTGCTGCGCCATGATGAGTGGCTTGGCTTGGCTCGCGATATGACCAGGCACTGATGTCATGATTCAACCGCGCGTCCAAATTGCAGGCACATGAAGATCCCGGACCCAGGGCAGACGATCTACAGGTGGGGGCTTTTGGGGAGGGGTTGGG